GGGTCTCCTCCCGAGCGCCCGCCAACTACCACGGGGGATCCCCAGACGGGCCACCAAGCCGACTCTGCAGCCCGCCTCCCAGAATGGGGGGCACTGCGACCCTCACCTCGAGCGCCCGCCGCATACCAGCGGAGCTCGAATCGACAGAATCCATGGCCACTAAGCCAGAACAACTTCCAGCCCCCATCTTGTAGTTCATAGTGACCCTTCCACTCTGAGAGTCCGCCGACTACCACTGGCGCCAGCCAAGGTGGCCACCAGGCCCCCACGGCAGCCAGCCCTTCCGCCGTGGTTCGTTGTGACCCCTCCGTCGAGGGTCAGACAACTACCAATGGAGCCGCTCAGTGCGGCCACCAGGCAAACACTCCAGCCAGTCTCCGTGATGTCGCCCAAGGCGTAGTCCGCCGTGACCATGCTTCTGAGTTTCCGTGGACTCTCCGGGGCATCAGCCGCGGGGGCCACCAGACCCATGCTGCAGCCAGCCCTTCCGCCGTGGTTCATTGTGACCCTCCCACTTCGGGGCCCAAAGAATATACACCACCACCACGTCGATTCCTCCTGTCTCTCCTTTCCAGCGAATAGGGAGGGGGAGAGGGAGGTGGTGGTGGTGGTGGTGTATATTTTTGGGCCCGCTGCCACTGTGGGTCCGTCGGCCGCCACTCGAGCCTCTCAGCGTGGCCACCAGGCCCAAAACCGCATCCAACCCCGTGCTGCAGTACACACGCGGACCCTCCCGCCTGGAGCCCGCTGACCACCACCGGTGCCAGCCACGGGGGCCGCTGGGCCCGCGCTGCAGCCAGCCCTCTACCGCCGTGACTCCCTGTGGCCCCCCCTGTCGAGAGGCCGCCGACCGCCGCTGCAGCCGCTCCGAGGGGCCACCGGGCCAACACCCCAACCGACCCCCGGTGGCGCCGCCCGCGGCGCAGTCCGCCGTGCGCCTCCTTCGGAGCGTCCGCGGGCTCCTCTGGGGCAGCGGCCGCCTGGGGCCACCGGGCCCAGGCTGCAGGCGGACCGCCCGCCGCCGCGCACCCCGACGACCCTCCCGCCGAGGGTCCTCCGACCGCCACTGGAGCCGCTCAGCGTGGCCACCAGGCCAACGCTCCAGCCAGCCCCCGCGTTGTCGCCCAAAGGCGTACAGTCGGGGCGCTGAAGAAGGAACCCTTTTCGTTGGGGAGGGGCTCGGTGTTCCTTAATTGTTCCACACCTCATGGGAAGGGGCTCGGTGTTCCTTAATTGTTCCTTCGATGGGAAGTCGAAGGCTAACTCATGAAAAGAGGGCCTCGTTCCTTATTTAGGGTTCCTTAGGTCAACGCCTCGACTGTAGTCCGTTGCGCCCCGCCTTCTGAGCGTCCGCAGACTCAGGCGCACTATAGCCACGGGGGGCCCCCAGGCCCACGTTGCAGCCACTGCCCCTGACGGTAGTCCCTTGTGACCCCTACTCTGGGCGTCGGCCCTCTACCGCGGGCGATTCCCAGGGGGGCTCACCAGGCCCACCCTGCAGCCGGCCTTCCCGACGTGGACTATCGCGAGCCTCCCCTCGAGGATCCGCCGACCACCACCGGGCCCCACGACGTCCGACGACCGTCCGTCGACCCTCAGACGACAGGCCAGGCGACGCCGACCCGACTGACGGCGGCACGCCGGCCGCCCGCCGGCCGTCCGATCCCCAACGATGGCGGTCCGACGACCGTCCGCCGGCCGTCCGCGGACCGCCAGAGCGACTGCCGACGACCGACGGTCGACTGCTCGACATCTGACGACGACGAGACTCAGGGGAGGAGAGGGTATCCATATCTCTACCCGTCCCTCGTTTTCCCCTTCCTGGGCCTCCTGGGAGGCCCTCGTCGCCACCGCTGGACTCGCCTCGAAAATCTGGTCAGAACGCACCCCGGGGGAGGTCTGGGGAGCAGCGGTATGGGTACCTTTTGGCCTCTCCAGAGACGACCGTCTGGCACCCACTGGCCGACGCTCGCCCGCACGTGGCACCAGCCGCCATGACGCACCCCGACCAGACCAGACCAGCAGGCAAATCGAAGCCGCAACGGGCCGCCTTCGCCTCCTCCTCCTCCTCCTCCTCCTCCTCCTCCTCCTCCTCCTCCTCCTCCTCCTCCTCCCTCCTCCCATCTCGCGGCTGAAGGCGCGGGGCAGCTCCGCCTCGCGGAGGGCGCCGCGCCGGCGGGGGCGGCAGGCCTCCTGGGGACGCTGGCCGCGGCGGTCGGGCCCCGGCGCGTCGCTGCCGCCGCCGCGCCGCCGACGACGCCGCCGACCCCAGATGATAAAAAACCCTTCGTCATGCAAATTGGAGATTGCCGATCCTCTGGCGCACCGCCGATGCCGAGGCGACGCCGACGACTCGCACCACAAGCGACGCCGGCGCGCGCAGCTGCCGCGGACCGTCGGGTCTTGCGCGTCGTCGCCGCCGCCGACGCCGATGCCGAGACGGCGCCGGCAGCGACGCCGAAGCGCGATACCGCCGCCGCCGCCGCCGACGCCGCTCACTCGCGCGCCGCGAGCGTAGGGGGGGTGGATCGGCGAGGTGCCCCGCCAGCCCGAAGAGGAGGAGGAGGAGGAGGAGGAGGAGGAGGAGGAGGAGGAGGAGGAGGAGGAGGTCTCTTCATGGGTCCCTACAAGGGTTCATTTCCACAGGGAAGTGCCCCGTTGGGAAACAACCGTTTGAAGATCCTGAAGTGCGCTCATACACAATTCTCGCGACTTCATCACCGTGAATCCACTTGACTGTTGCGTCTTGACGATCCTGAGGCGTGCCAAAGCAATCCCTGGGATTCCAACACCGCGAATCCGCGTAACTGTTGCGCCCTGGCAATCGTGAGTTGTTCCAGAACGCCATTTCTGGTAAGCTAACCATGGAACATCCGTGACATTCGCTGCAAATGTTTAATAAGACGAGTGTGCGCGGCGCTACGGCGATAGCCACATTTTGGAAGCGACCCCCGCCCTCCATCTGTGAAGCTCTTGCAAGTTCCGAAGCTTCGAGATCATAAATGGTGAGGAAGTCTCAGGCGAAACGCCTGGTCCTCTCTTTCGACCAGCCTCGGGGTGCGACAGGAGGGAGGAGTTGCCTGTACGGAAAAGAAATGGAGGACGAGGGGGGAGGAGGAGGAGGAAGAAGAGGAGAAGGACGAGGACGAGGACGAGGACGAGGACAAGGACGAGGACGAGGAGGAGGAGGAGGAGGAGGAGGAGGAGGAGGTGGAGGAGAGGATGAGGAGGAGGAGGAGGAGGGGAGGAGGGAAGGAGGAGATGAAGGAGGAGGGAGGAAGAGGAGAGAGGGAGGAGGAGGAGGGAGGGGAGAAGGAGGAGGAGGGAGGGAGGGGTGAGGAGGAAAGGAGGAGGAGGAGGAGGGAGGAGGAGGCGGAGGAGGGAGAGGAGGGAGAGGAGGAGGAGAGAGGAGGGAGGGGGGGAGAGGAGGGAGGAGGGAGGAGGCGAGGAGGAGGAGGAGGAGGGGAGAGGAGGAGGAGGATGAGGTGGGGAGGGGAGGAGGAGGACGATGAGGAGAAGGAGGAGGTGGGAGAGGAGGAGGAGGGGGGGGGAGGAGGGGGGGAGGAGAGGAGGAGGTGGGGAGACGAGGCGGAGGGGGGGTGGGGGGGGGAGGGGGGGGGGGGAGGAAGAGGGGAGTTTTTCTTTATGTGTATGTTCTGCCTCTGGAGGCCAGTCTCGGACCCCGGGACCGCCAGACATCGCTTCGGGACAGCGAAACCATGGACAAGATGGACCCCAGATTCTTCCAATTCGAACGGATTTCGACGCCTGGCGCGGGAGTGGGAGGGGGAGGAGGTGAAGGACGGGGGCGAGGCGAGCACTCCGCGAGCGTGGGGGGATGGTTCGGCGAGGTGCCCAGCCAACCCAAGGAGGAGGAGGAGGAGGAGGAGGAGGAAGAAGAGGAAGAAGAGGAGGAGGAAGAGGAGGAGGAGGACGGGGAGTCATAGGCTCAGAGGGGAACAGCGCATCGACCCCCACTTGCGAAGAATCATGTGGCCCATTTCGAGCGGATCTCAGCTCCGGCGAGGGAGGCGGAGGGGGAGGAGGTGAAGGAGGCGAGGGAATCGCTGCTGACAAGTGCGCGGAGCGAGTAAGAAGGGCGAGGTCGCGGTCGCGGGGCGTGAGCTGCCAGATCACGCGCGAGGGCAGGTGGGGGGACCGAGGAGTGGGAGGGGAGATAGGGATTGGAGGGGGGAGAGGAGGGGAAGCAGGACAGTCTCTGAAGGTTCTGCCTGGGAGGGAGGGGGGGGTGAGAGCAAAGCGTTGTCCGATTCAAATCGGATGTGGGCACAGGTGAGGGAACAGGCAGCAGGAAGAACGCGGCGGTGCTGCGGTCGGCGTTTAGGGGGAACGCGGCAGTTTCGGCCACATCCGATCAGATCCGGGGCCCCTCAGGGGCTCGAAACCCGCGTGTTCCCCGCCATCGGTGCTGTGAATTAAGTGCCGCCGTCGAGAACGAGAGGTATCCGTATTCTCGTGGGGGTTGCACGGGGGGTGGCCCTTCTCACCCTCCTCCCTAGAGGCTCCAACACCTGCAGACATGCGGCTTCGATCTCCCGTCTGGTGGTTGCCCACCTTCGCCTGGCATCTGCCGTTGTGATGCTCAGGACGGGGGAAAGAGGCGAGCACTCCGCGAGCGTGGAGGGATAAGTCGGTGAGGTGCCCGGCCAACGCAAAGAAGAGAAGGAGGAGGAGGAGGAGGAGGAGGAAGAGGAGGAGGAGGAGGAGGAGCAGGAGGAGGAGGAGGAGGAGGAGGAGGAGGCGGGGAGGAGGAGGAGGAGGAGAGGAGGAGGAGGAGGGGGGGAGGAAGGGGAGGAGGTGGAGGGAGAGGAGAGGAGGAGAGGAGGAGGAGGGAGGAGGAGGAGGCGGAGGAGGAGGAGGATGAGGAGGAGGAGGAGGAGAGGGAGAGGGAGGAGGAGGAGCAGGAGGAGGAGGGGGAGTATCCAGGGGCAACGTTGTGGAATATAATGTGCTCATGTGACCGAAGCAGGAGCGGGAGGATGGATCACTCCCAGGTCGTGGGCTCTCTCTCTCTCTCTCTTTTTCTTTGTCTCTCTCTTGCGCAAGGGGCCTTTTCGGGATGGGGGGGGCTCAGGAACATGGAGGGATGGGGCAAGGGGGACAAGGGGCAAGGGACAGGGATACGCTCGGACTGCGAAGGATACTGTAGTCGCAGCCGTTCGCTAGGAGATCATAAGAGGCAATCGGGTTAGGAAGGTGAAGCGAAGCGAAGTGCCCAAGGGAGCAGCAGCACAATCATGCTGGGGAAGTCACGCTCAGGCGGGAAATATTGAAGTGCGGAGCAAGTGCCGAACAGGCCAGAGTGAGGGGGCCGAGCGGTCTTACACCATCCCTGGGTGCGTGCCTGAAGTGGGCTTCCGCGGTCAGGATGAGTGTTATTTCTATTGTTTGGTTCTTGTTGGCGTCGTTCTCGCCCGCTATCTGCCCGCGACCCACCCGTGACCGCCCGCGAACCACCCGCTACCCACCCAGATTGATTAAACGATTCGGCGCCTGCGCTTGGCTCGTTGTGTAATGTGTAAGACAACCGGCGCATGCGCTAGGCTTCTGCAAAGCCTCGCAGACTGCCGACGACCTCGCCGCCCCCTCACTCATATCCGCAACTGCGTGGGCCACGGTATGATGAAGATGTACCGGCCAGGTAGGGTCACATAGATATGGCTTTGGATATGTCACGTGCACGAGCACGTGACTCCTGGCAGCAGCAGAGGCACGATTGAGAGACGCAAATGGTGTGCCCTGTTCGCCGTATTGTGGGGCAAGCTTAAATAGAGCATGTGAGCGCTACGCGTGGTGCTGCAGCCCCTGGCCTCTGCAAGAGCGAGCACTCCTGCTCATTTTGCAGATGGCCGCGGCTGGTTGTTCAACGGCAGCAGCTGGGCCGGGCTCGCGGTGCCATGCGGTGTTTGGCACGTGCTGCCGGCGAGCCCCACCCGCTCACGCCCTCCCCCCGCCGTGGTGGCCGAGAAACATGTGGCCGAGGCTGGCCGCGGCCATGCGCTAATGACAACTGTGCGCTATCTGATGGGTTGCACTGGCTGGGTGAGCTGGCTGGACGCGTTTGCACGTCCGTTGGGCAGGCCGTGCCTAATTATGGAAAAGGAGCGCTGGCCCGCGTGGCTGTAGGATGACCGCGTGCCTCCTCGTCCTCCCCTGCGAGTCCCAGCGCTGCTGGACGGGAGCGTGCCGGGGTGGGCGCTCGTGCGCGGGCGGGGCCACCTTGAGGACTGCGCGTGCTCAGACTTACACGCTCGCCCCCCGTCCACATCGCCCTTCCCTCCGCCCATTCTGCCTTACGCCCCCTCCCCGCATCCGCCCCGCTATCTCCTCCGTCGCCTCCGCACGTTCCCCTCCACTTGCCCCCCTCCCCTCTTCCGCCGCCCCCCCCTTCTCTCGCTCTCCCCCGCACCCGCCCGCCTTCTCCTCCTCCCCCTCCTCCTCTCTTCTTCATCTTCTATTCCTTGTCCTTAGAACTCCTCTCTCCTGTCGCACCCCGAGGCTGGTTGAAAGGGCGGGGCGGGCGTTTCACTTGAGACCTCCTCATCGTTTATGACCCTGAAGCTTAGAAGCTGGCAAGAGCTTCACGGATGGAGGGCGGGTGGTTTTCAACATGTGGTTCTCGCCTTAGCGCCGCGCACATTCGTTTCAAACATGTGCCAGGGTTGCTCATATTGAGGGCGAGTCGTTTTCAAAATGTGATTATCGCTTTAGCGCCACGCACATTCGAAGTAAAAACTGCAAGATCGTCACGGATTTATGGCGGCTGGTTTTCAAACTGTGGTTTTCGCCTCAGCGCCGCGCACATTCGTTTTAATGTTTTGCAAGAGTTTCACGGGTCGAGGGCGGTTTGTTTTCAAATTGTGAGTTTCGCCTTAGCGCCGCGCACATTGGTTTTAATAATTTGCACGAGTTTCACGGATTGAGGGCGGGTTGTTTCCAAAATGTGGTTCTCGTTTGGGCGCCGCGCGCATCCGCTTGAAACAAGTGCAAGAGCTTCACGGATTGAGGGCGGCTCATGTTCAAATTGTGGTTCTCGCCCTAGCGCCGCGCGCATGTTCCGCAATTGTTTGCAAAGGTGTCACGGATTCCCCATAGACATCGCAAGGGAAAAAGGTGCTTTCGAAGGTCTCAGGGTAGTGATGGCGCAACAGTTACGTTGATTCGCGGTGTTGGTTGAAATCTCAGGGGTGATGTTCTGGCGCGGTTCGGGATCGTCAAGACGCAGCAGTAAGGTTGATGCGTGGCGATGGAGTCGCGAGAATGGTGTATGGGCACGCTTCAGGATCTTCAAACGTATGTTTCCCAACAGGGCATTTCCCGCAGTGGAAATGAACCCTTGTAGGGGCCTCTGAAGAGGGAGCTCGGAGGGAGGGTTCATTCCAACATCGCTGATAAGTCTTAGATTTACGCTGGTCCCCTCCTCCTCCTCCTCCTCTTCCTTCTCCTCCTTCTCCTCCTCCTCCTCCTCCTCCTCCTCCTCCTCCTCCTCCTCCCCCCTCCTCCTCCTCCCCCTCCCCCTCCCTCCTCCTCCTCCCTCCTCCCCTCCTCCTCCTCCTCCTCCTCCTCCTCCTCCTCCTCCTCCTCCTCCTCCTCCTCCTCCTCCTCCCCTCCTCCTCCTCCTCCTCCTCCTCCTCCTCCTCCTCCTCCCCCCCTCCCCTCCTCCTCCTCCCTCTCCTCCTCCTCCTCCCCCTCCCCCCCCCCCTCAAACCACCCCTCCCCCGTGCGCGCCGTCTCTGCGGGCAGCGGCGGGCCCCCGCGCTGCAGGTCGACGCCGCCCCCCCTGCGCGCCGCGGATGCCCTGAGAGCCATACGCGGGCTCGCGGCGGCGGGACGGGGCCTTCTCTCTCGCCCTCCCCCCCCCACGCTTCGCCACCATCCCTCCCTCTCTTCGCTCACATCCTCCTCCCTCCTCCTCCTCCCCTCCTCCTCCTCCTCCTCCTCCTCCTCTCTCCTCCTCCTCCTCCTCCTCCTCCCTCCCTCCCCCTCCTCCTCCTCCTCCTCCTCCTCCTCCTCCTCCTCCTTCATCTCGTCCTCCTCCTCACACTTCGCCCTCCGTAGCCATTTTGGCTCAAGTCCGTAGCGGTTGTGCTCAGACTTGGCTTTCTGGCGTGGGGGAGGGACGGCCCCCGACTGCTCAGAGCCTCCTTCTCAGCCTGCCCAGGCTGGAGGCTCTTCCTTTTCGCGTATACACTACCACTTCCGAGGTGTGCAGCTTCGAATGACCAAACAGCATGTTCCTTGGGTTGCTTCTCGCTCTTCTGCTGCCGACGATTGGAAGCTGGCCGCGGCAAAGCCTGAGTTTCTCAAGTGTTGGACATGCGGATGTGGTAAGAACAAGCGGTCTGCAAACAATTGCTTCCAGTGCGGTGCCTCCCTACAGGCCCGTGGGCCCTGGGTCGAACAGCCGTTGGTTCAAGCCGAGCCTCGGGCAGCTCAGAAGCCTGGGCGCTGGCGCAACGGACGGGTGGCAGCTGATGGAAAGTCGGGGGGCAAGGGAGCTCCCAAGGGGGGCACGGCCGAGGGCGGCAAGGGTCTGCAAGGAGAGGCGCGTCAGCCACTTCGCACTGGCCCCCCAGTTCGCCAGCGGCTCAGACCCCATGGCCTTCAATGTCAAACAGATGCAGCGGGAGGAGGTCATGCAGCTTGCGGCCCTGGCCGGGAAGCATGGCCTCGCGATGGTCTCCAGTCAGTGCAAGCTCCGCCTTCTGGAGCTGGATCGCCTGGCTGCTGCTCCTGTTGCGATCCCGCCCGAGAAGCAATTGTACAACTTGGTTGAAGAGAGAGAGAGAGAGAGAGAGAGAGAGAGAGACGCCCATGTCAAGCGTATGGAGAAAGAACTCGACCTGGTCGACAAATGGGAGAAGAGTATGGCTCGTCAGAGGCAGAAGATCCAAGAACTCAGCGATGGGCTGGACTCCTACGACGCTCAAATCGCGGGCCTCAAGCTCAGGCCCACCGAGCACTCCCAGCAGGCAGCCGTCGCCGAGGCTGCCGAGCCTACGGGTGCGCGCTTGGACTCGCTCCTCGACGGCTCGTTCAGGATCGACTGTGGGAACTTGTTCGAAGTGGGTGATGAGGAGTATGAGTTGTCTGACACGGACAAGCAGGAGCTCCAGCAGCGCAAGCAGAAGCTGGAGGCGCTTATCGCAGACAATGCAAAATCGCTTTTCTCTCCGGCAAAGGAACACTTCGAGAAGCTCAAAGCCGAGCACGCTGCCCAGTGTTCCAGGCTCACGAAGAAGCGCAAGGCCGAGGATGGCACTGCGCGAGGGGCGGCTGGCGAGGCAGCGGCAGCCTCTGGCCCAGGGCAGGGCACAGCCCAGGCGCCGCCGCCGCTGGTGGACCTCTCAGCGGAGATGCCCGCTGTGGCACCTGATGTTCGGACTCGCGCTCGGGACAGCAAGGCCAAGTTGGAGCAGGCAGGGGCCCCCGAAGGCGCCGCTGCCTGAGGGGGCCCAGTCCTCTGGCTCAGAGGGCGCTCAGTCCGTGCGCCCGAGAGGCTACTCGCCTCTGGATGTGTTGCCAACCTTCTGGGCTTCGAATCCTGAAGACCTGGATTGGCCAGACCTGAACCTTCCCTGTCGCAGCTGCAGCTGGCCCTGACGAGCTGTTGCTGGCTGGTCGTTGGCACCCGCAGCCAGCGCCTGCGGCCATGGGGAGGCCACCGAAGGGCGCGGGGGCAGGGGATTCAGCCCCCGACCGTCGAGCCCCCGCGCCCACAGGGAGAACCCGTTCGGCTACCCGCCCTGGATCTACTGGTACGAGTGGATCGCGTTCGCCTGCTGCTGCGGCTGCTGGGGCACAGGCCCCCATCGGCGCCAGCAGCGACGCCGCCGCCGCGGAGACCCCAGCAGCCTGGGGGACCGCCGCCGCCGCGCCTCTGGTGCCTATGGGGGCCCAGCCACATGAGCGACACGGAGGGGCAGAGGCCTCTCCCTCGGCCAGCGCGAGCGCCGCCGCCGCGGAGGCTCCAGCATCCTGGGGGCCCGCCGCCGCCGCGCCGCTGGCCACTGGAGAGGCCCAGCCACATGAGCGACACGGAGGCGCCCCAGCGGGGCTCATACGTCGTCACGCTGCCGGCCCCGATGGCACGCACTGCTCGCCTCTTGCCCTTGCGGCATCTGAGGTTGAGGGCACCGACCATCGGGGGGCCTCGACTGGCGAGAACGCGAGCCCGAGCACGAGAGGCCCCACTGGGGCTGGTCGGGACCCTCCCCCGCTGGGCGCCCTATCCACGGGGGAGTCATTCGTCGCCGCTGAGGAGGATGGTGGAAAGCTCTCGGCTCAGGCAGATGTCGGGACCGTGGTCGCCGCCCAGCTACCTTGCACTCAGGACAGTGAGGCCAAGGTCACCGACACACTCAACGATGACACTCTCACGCTGATCACGTACAACTGCAACGCTTGGTCGACGGCTCAGGCGTTCATGGAGTGGATGCACCGCGATGTGAAGCGCGAGGTTCACCACTACTTCTTTCAGGAGACGCGTTTGCTGCAGGGGAGTACGGCGTCCCCAACCTCGTGGGCTGGCAAGGCGGGCTTCACGATGCACGCTGGGGCGGCCGCGGCCGCAGGCGACGGGGCCCTGGAGCACTCTGGTGGAGTGGCAATGCTGTCGCGATCTTCTGTCGGGGCCAAGTCCTTGGCGGAGGCTTTCCCTGAGAGGGTGAGGCATCGCCTGGTCGCCCAGTTGGTCTCAGTGACGTCGGACGTCCAGTTGTTTTTCGTCTCGGCCTACCTGGTGACGAACGAAGGCCTGGGCCCGAGAAACCAGGACTTGCTGGCAATCTTGGGCGAGTTTATTGCTGCATCGGAGTGGCCTGTGATAGTCGGCGGCGACTGGAACATTCCTGTGGACGAGATCGTAGCCTCTGACTGGCCAGGCAGTTGGCATTTGCAGTCTGTTGCGCCTGAGGATGACGCCTGCAATAGCAATATCTTTGACTACTTTATGATCTCGCAGTGTCTCCTCCCATATGTTTTTAAAGTCCAGGCTCTTTTGGATACGCCCAGGGGCCCACGCGTCGCGGTTTCCCTGGGGCTCAAAGGCTTATCGGGCCCTGCTAAAGTGCGGCAGCGCGTTGTGCCCTGTGGTTTTCCGCTCGACCCGCCTACCGATCCAGACGGATCGGAGATCCCAGGGTCCGATCTCTCAGGCAGCGCTTGGTCTTGGGAAGCTGGGCCCCTTCCTCCGAGGCCCCTTGAGGCGGCCAAGGAATGGCTTAAAGCTGCAGAAGATTTTTTGGCAAGCTCGCACCATATCCCAGCAGGGGACGTGGCCAAGCACTCAGGCCGAGCGCAGGGATGCCAGTTTCAACTGATGCCGCTCCGCGCTGCCTGGGGCCGCGAGCTCGCGCGTCGCTCGGCGGCCAGCACGGCGAAGTGGCTGCAGCTCCGACGAGTGCTGTCGCAGCTGGTAGGGCTGACCAAAAAGAAAGGGGGTCGGACGGGGGTTACTTGGGGGAGGCTCTTGGAGGTTCTCGATCAGGCCAGCCCCTGTTTGATTTCGGCGGAGGCCGAGGCGCTAAGCGCCATCTCTGGTCGTGAACTGTTGGAAGGTCTGCAGGATCCCGACAGGTGCCCAGGCCTCGTAGTCGCCCTTGCCCAGGAGGTGGGTACCAGGCTAGCCAGCGATGCGTCTAAGGCCAGGCAGGCTTGGCAGGACTTCGCTCAGTCTTCAGTGCTCAGGGGTGGGCGCATCGCTCACAGGTTCAGCAAGGGTCCCAAGCCTGCGCCTGAGCCCGTCCTCGGGCCCGCGGAGGAAGGGGGCATCCCCTTGGCGGGCCACGCGGCCCTTGCGAGACTTTTGGACGAGTGGATCCCGATTTGGACCCAGGCCTCGAGGGCCAGCGAGGAGCACCCGTCTTCCTGGGAGGTTTCAAGCTTTTTAGAGCCGATCTCGCCTGATGATATACGCTCCGCGTGCAAGTGCTTCGCCAAAGGCACTGCCTTGGGGTGGGACGGCTTCCACCCGAGGCTTTTGCTCCAACTCCCCCCTGAAGCGGTACAGCGATTTGCCGACTTGTTGAATGCATGGGAGCGCGATCCCAGGGTGCCGACACTCTGGATGATTCTAATTATACCCCTCGACAAGCCTACAGGCGGAGTGAGACCGATCGGCTTGCTCCCTTTGCTCGCTCGGGTCTGGTCCAAGGTCCGACAGAGGGTTTGCAGCGCCTGGGAGAGGATTAATACTTCGGGCCTTTTTTTGGAGCCAGTCCAGGGCCACCTCTTGCGACAAGAGCGCGTGGCTCCACAACGCTCTTTCAGCGTTCGCCAGGTTGCGGCACCTGGCGTCGGGCTCGGCCTTTTTGGATTTGAAGAAGTTCTATGAAAAACATCTCTCACCAAGAACTCAGGTCCGCGGCGGCCCACGTGGGCTTCCCCGACAGCCTCTTGAGGGGCTTGTGCTGCGTTTATCGAGCCGAGAGAAGGGCCGTCTTCCAGGGGGTCACGGGCAAACCACTGGAACCGAACGGCACGGTTGTAGCAGGGTGCTCTTGCGCGACCACCTTGGCCAAAGTTTTGCTGCTGGTTGTGCTGAAGCGGGCGCACCGAGAGGCTCCGATAATCAAGATTAAAAATGTTGTTGACGACGTGTCGTTCCATGCTGTAGGGGGCGAGGCCACGGTGTCAGGGCAGGTGGCCAGGGCCTTCAACATTGTAGCTGCCGATGTGCAGGAACGCAAGCTGCCGATTTCGTGGAATAAGGCTGGAGTGCTGGCTAACACCAATACGCTTGCGTCTGCCTTGATGGCTGAGCTGCCCCCACAGTTGGCTGGCAGCCGAGAGTCAGCTCTTAGAGATTTGGGGGGTGATGCTTCG